GAGCACCGCCGCACTCCCAAGCAGCGCACTGTAGCAGTGCGCCACCGGGCCGGCCCTTAAAATAAATTTGAGATACTAAATCCACTTTTATCACTGTGGTTCTGTAGGCAACACTCTGTACCACAATCTTTCAAAATAAGTTCCACCAGTTAAGTGATACTTTTAAAAACTGTCACCATTCCCTTTGACAGTGTCCTCTTCTCAATGTTTGAAAACCATAAGGTCATCCTCAGGGGCTCTCACCTGACATGGTAGTATGGGTCTTGGCACCACCGAGTTCCTCCTGGGTAACATCCTCATTGGTGACAGACTTTACAACATCAGGGCCAGTGATGAACAGGTACGAGGTGTCCTGAAATCAGAGATTTCTAGAACGGTCAATTTTAGATCTTGCCAGAGCCATAGAGCTCACTCAGCTGAGAAGACAAATGCAGAAAAGGCAGTGATGTGGGGATAGAACCAGACTGAGATGCAGCTCAGACACGCATCCAGACTAAACACTCCAGCTTTCCCTGCCTCATTGTCTATTTCTTTTTTTTTTCAAATCTTTGTTGCATGACTCTATCTCAGCAAATTAGCTTGCAGTGTGGTTAACATCCCAGGTTCACTCATCTGTAGGAAACAATAACAGATGGTCCTCACTCAAAGCTTGCTGCGTGCTGAGCACTTTTTAAGCACTTCACAGTACTGTGACATTAAAGCCTAGGTACTATTAACATCCCTGTTTATATAGGAAACTGAGGCACCAAGATAGTATACAACCAGCCACTTTAAGTGAAGCTACTTAAAGACACTGATAATCAACACTCTGGGGTTATGAGAGTGGGACAGACTTTATTTAGTTTCTAATTTATAGATAATAAAGGCACACTGTTAAAAAAAAAATTTAAATAGAAGAACAGGGGATACAGTGGAAAGTAAGTCTAGATCCCAGCCCTTATTTCCATGCCTTCAATTCCTGCCCCAAAGGTAACCACTGTCAGCTCTTACAGAGACACCCATGCACATACAAGCATAGATATATATTTTTTTCTAACACAAACATTTATTTCCTCTTATTTCCTAACACAAACATTTTCTTCCTAACACATTTTCTTTCTAACACAGTGTCCTCTACACACAGTTCTCAAATTTGCTTTAAAAAAAAAAACATAATACTATAGCTTGAAGATCGTTCCACATCACTATAGTAGGATATGTATCATAATTTAACTGTCACCTACTGATAGTCATTTAGGTTGTTTCCAGTATTTTATTATAATAAGTGATTTTGCAATAAATATCCTACTGTAGTCATCTCTGAATTCACTGCTCATGTTCTTTGCCCATTTTTCTAATGGATAGTTGGCTTTTTTTTATATACTATGAAAATGAGTCCTTAGTCTATCATATATGTTATATCAGTCTTTGATCTTATGGCTCCTTGGTTTGGGATCTTGCTAGAAAGGTTTGGCTAGAAAGGCCCTCCTTACTCCATACAAAAACTTCTAAATGAAGGGCTGGCCCTGTGGCTCACTTGGGAGAGTGCGGCACTGGGAGCGCCGAGCCCACAGGTTCAGATCCTATATAGGGATGGCTGGTGCGCTAACTGGCTGAGTGTGGTGCAGACAACACCTTGCCAGGGGTTGCGATCCCCTTACCAGTAAAATAAATAAATAAAACTTCTAGATGAATGTTCATAGCAACATTATTGGTAACAGTTAAAAAACTAGAAACAGAGGACTTCTGGTTTCCAGTCCATCATGTAAAAAGCTGGAAGTTAACACTCCCTGCTAACAATTAAAAAGCTGAACAAACTGAAAAAAAAAAAAATCAATAACTCCTCTTAGATCTAACAGAGAGGTGAGGTCACAGAGCAAACTTCTCCAAAATTGGAGAATGACAGGCAAATGCAGAAAATCAAGGCTTGCCAGAGCAAAAACTCATGAACACAAACCTCCCCAGGAACCAGTGCTTATGTAGGGAAGCCTGAACTATAACTAACAAATTGCTGGAGACTCAGCATGGACAAGTCAGAGAGAGAAAAACTCCAGGAGGGCTCAGTCATTGGGGCACCCACACCTTTGTGAGTTTTGCCTCTAGCAGCTCAACCAGGTTGTCATGATTATGTTCTGAGAAAAATCCCCTCATGCTTCCAGCATGGGGAGGGGAAAAGGAACCATTTTGAAATGTGCCAGAGTATTCTGTTCTTCTTAGCAATGTCTGCCCTCAGGGGAAACTATTTAGCCAGAGCCTAATCTGCTGGAGTTTTATCAAAGACTAAATGACTTGGAGGAAGGAAAATACCAGACTCCAGCCAGCTGTAGCCTTCCACATGGGAGAGGGGAAATACCCAGCTCCAGCCCACTCTAGTTATCCTGTCCCACCAAAGTGGGACTAGGATGGGAGCTCAGAAACCCATGTGAAGCTCATAGTCCAGAGGCACAAACTCACTAAAAGACTAAGACCTACTCATATGACTACAGAACACTTCCCCTCTCCCCACACCTTACCACCACTTTATTAAAGGCCTATTTATAGCAATTGCTTTTACCTAGTATATCACATCCAACCATCAAGAAAGAGTTATGAGACATACTAAAAGGAAAAAGCACAGTTTGAAGAGACAGAGCAAGCATCAGAAACAGAATCAGATATGGCAGGGATGTTGGAATTATCAGACCAGAAATTTAAAACATCTACAATTAAGATGCAAAGCGCTCTCATGTATAAAGCAGACAGCCTGCAAGAACAGATGGACATGTAAGCAGAGAGATAAAAATTCAAAAAAAGAGCTGAAAAGAAATACCAGAGATTAAAAGCACTGTAACAGAAATGAAGAATGCCTTTGATGCACCTACTGATAGACTGGGCAAGGCTGAGGAAAGAATCTCTGGATATCTCAATAGAAACCACCAAAATTTTAAAGAAGAAAAACACTGCTGAAAAAACAAACAAAAACAACCAGAATATTCAAGAACTGTGGGACAACTACTAAAGGTATAACATACACATAATGGGAACTCCAGAACAAGAAGAAAGAGAGAAAGAAATAAAGACTCTCAGACAAACAAAAATTGAGGGGGTATGCTGCAAGTACATCTGCCTTGCAAGAAATGTTAATGAAATTATTTAGAGATAAGGTAAACGGTAAAGGTAAGAAACTCAGATCTACATAAAGAAAAGAAGAGCATCAGAGAAGGAATAAGTGAGGGTAAAATAAAAACTTATTTTCTTATTCTTAATTGATCTAAGGATAATAATTTGTGCAAAATAAAAAACAGTAACAACATATT